GGTGGGGGGAGGGGGGAAGGAGAAGAATTGGGATGGGGGTAGGAGGGAGGCTGGGAAGGGATGGGAAGGTTAACAAAGGAGGAGGCTGCAGTGCTTGGTAAGAAATGTACGCATTATCCTGCCCATGCAATTGTAACCCCTCTGTACAGTATGTTCACAAATAAAATAAAATTAAATTTAAAAAAAATATATAGAACAAAACATAAAAAAACTGGAAGTTATGCTGTGGCTCAAATGGTAGAGCACTAGCCTTAAGCTAAAGAGCTGAGGGACAGTGCCTAGGTCCAGTGTTCAAGCCCCACAACCAACAAAAAAGCAAGTTGTCAAATTTATATATTTAGGCAAAATTTCCCCATTTTTCAGTTTATATTGTGATCATTCAGTATTGCAATATATATATATATATATATATATATATATATATAAAGGAAATAACCTTTCTCTTTTTAATTCTTCCTCTTTAAAATGATTCCAAATCTTTTAGTATAAAACTTCAAAGGGAAAGCAGGTCTGGTAGCTCATTCCTATAATCATAGCTACTGAGGAGGCTGAGATCTGAAGATCTCAGTATGAAGTTAGCTCAGGCAGGAAAACCCATGAGACACTGTTCTCCAATTAACTACTAAAAAAGCTGGAAGTGGAGCTGTGACTTAAGTGGTGGAGCTCTAGTCATGGGCAAAAAAAATCAGGGACAGTGCCCACACTCTGAGTTCAAGCCCCAGAACCAGAACACACACACACACACACACACACACACACACACACACACACACACACACACACACACACACACACACAGCTTCAAAGGGAAGTTGAATTACCAATTGTTTCAAAAAGTTGAAATGGGTAGATTTGGTTCTGCTTTGTTAGAAAGAAGATAAAAAAGAGAGAAATCTAGCATCTTCCTGAGTTCCTTTGTCTCCTTGTAATAACCTATCCTATCTCACCATTTCCCAGAGAGTAGGTATCCTTTGTTTCCAGTGGGAGACCTTTCCCTTGGTATCCTTGGGGGATTTGGGGTACACAGAGAAAATTCTGCCCCTTTGCAGTAAGCTTCAAAGACTGTGTGATACAAGTGATGGGTCAGGTTTGCAATCCATTATGGTTAAGTTCTTTCCCAATACCTATTTTCAACACTTTGTGTGGTGTTTTAGGTTTTGGTTTTTTTAGTATGCTCTTGAAGGGCAGAGTTTATTCTAAGACTTTGTAAACATCAGCATTATATCTGACACTATTTTGCAAATAAATAATCTGAGGATCAGATCCAATTAATAGCTCAAT